CCAAAATGAAGGCAAATCTGAAAACAAAGAACATTTCCCCCCAACAACCAAGCCCTGCCGCAACGAATCCTTCATTCCCGAAATGTGTAACCCTCACACAAATGAATGGTAACGGTGCAAAGCAGTGGAAGAGACTCTGCAAAACTGCTACATATGAAGAAAAACTCTTCCCAAGAATGCATATACCGTTTTCTATTTGCCTCTGTTGCAAGTCTAACACTCAGCAACCCATCAAATCTGGAACTAGTGTTATTAAGCTCCCTTAAAGATGTATGAAAAATGAACAACAGACATTGAAGTATGTTGAACAGCGAGGGATGGCATAAATGCTTCAAATTTTCTTCAGGCGTTTTCCCTTAATTTCTGTTCTTATAGTGGGCTGGAACTAGGGGAAAGGAATATTTTGAAATAGTAATGTTTATTTATTTATTTAATCTGTATACTGCCTAGTTAATGCTAGGCACTACTCTGGATGGTTTAGATCCATAGTAAAGACAATATAAAATAATATAACAAAGGAACTACTACTCATATACAATCTAATAGTCAAATAAATAAAAAAAAATAACCCAAACCTCAGTTCATAAATCAAACAGACCAAATGATAGCTAGATGGGCAACATCGGTGTAACAAGACCATCAAGAACCTTTGGAGATTATGCCCTCAAAGGCTTCTGTAAATAACCTTGTTTTGAGCATCCACTTGAAGGCTGAGGGGAGGAGAGTCAGGCACAGCTCTACTAGGAGCCTATTCCACATTATTATAAACACTATAAATTATAAATCCATCACCTATGATGATGACAGATTACAGGAAGTTTAAAAGGTTCCAGGATGTTTTAAATCACAAGTTTCTATAAGGACACTGGCTGCTATCCAGGAGAAACACAGGTGCAAGAAGATCAGATTGTAGGCTGGGAGCACAACTGCAAACACAACTTGGGAAAACTTACTGTATTTGCTGGCCTATAAGACGATTCAGATTGTAGGCTGGGAGCACAACTGCAAGCGCAGCTTGGGAAAACTTAACTGTTACTAAGACTCCTGATCTGAACACCTACCAACTTTATCAGACTATGGGTGCAATCCTAACTATCCAGGTCAGCCAATGGCCCACTAACATGACCCAATGCCAGCTGAGGCTACGTTGAATCCAATCTGTCCTAGCCTAGGGATGTCACAATCTTGGTCTAGCTTTTTCCACCGGCATAATGGCTATGGTTTTGGGTTAAGAAAGATATGTAGCTGTATTAATCATCTCCTTTCCTACTCCTCTCTTTCTTTGATTCTTCTGTCATCTGATGTCAGTCAACAGTCAAGTGCTGGCAGATGCGAACTCAGTCAATGGCAGGGGGCTGTGCCAGCATGAAAGACTTCTGCCCACTCAAAACGCACCACAGCATGTCCATGAGTTTGGATCACACTGTAATCATAATGCTTAAGCAAGGGATGGAGGTTTCAGATATTCTTCATCTAGGAGTAGTAGAGGCCTTGCCCACTGGCTGTAGTTGTTACGGTTTCTAGGAGTTGTAGTCCACAAATCTAGGATCCTAAATTTGGGAACTACTGGAATAAACGGAAAGCTCAAAGCCTACTCAAAACAAACAGTATTTTAATTTGAACTTATTTAAGAAGTTCTTGACACATAATCCTCATGATGATTTAAAAAGAAAAAAACATCTTTAATACATTCACTGTATGTCCTCTCTGACTTTTGATAAAACAAAATGGAGAGGACAGTCTTATTTTCCCTCTAAAGCTTTATGAATGTACGATATGGGTTCCCTTGGGCTAACTATTTGGATATTCATAAGAACCCCCTGGTTTCTATTGCCCCCTCATCAATGTATACCAGCCTATTTTAAACCATGGATTTCAGAGCAGTAAATTAGCCAAGGGGTACAGCTGAGTACCCCTAATGTTTGGAATAAAACACACAGGCATTTCTACCATTTTCCTGAAGATTTCATACCAAATCCCCAACCTGTTTCCTGAAGTGTGCATATAAAAAGAACATGGAGCTCTTGAAGACCTTCTACTACATTCAGTGAATTACAATATCATTCACCATTTATGACTGCTAAACCTAAATGATTATTATGTAGTGAATACTGCAAAGATTCACTTGGCCTTACTAAACCTTTAAAATATTTAGCTACCTTTTTTCCTTTTGGAAACTGGGAAACATAGCATTCACTTTTTATGTTGATAAACGAGAAACACCCATGGCAATCATATTATGTATTACTAATCTTGTGAACAGGAGAATAAAAGTGTTCAGTATCTGCTTACAGTCTCTAACACAGCTCTACATGCCCTTTTTGATTCCTTTCAAGGTCTACACTGCACACATACATCCCTTCCAATTGTCTCCTTCTGCTCTGACTGCTGCCTTATTAGTGTAAAGACATTCTTAAAGGAAGCATGTATAAACAATATTAGCCAAATGTTCTTGTTCCCTATTCCTTCCGCCAGTAAAAATCAACAGTTTGCTCTATAAGTACAATACAAGGCATGTATAAACAATATTAGCCAAATGTTCCTGTTCCCTATTCCTTCCACCAGTAAAAATCAACAGTTTGTTCTGTAAGCACAAATTGTGAAGCATACTATGAGTCACACCAAACAGGATAACTAAGGTGCCTCTCTCACATCTTGGAAAGGTGAATTCACGTGGATTCATTTACTCTGCTACAGGATCCCAAATACTGTAGGAGAAAGTCCATTAATGTTTTGTCCTTTATGTCTCTTACAATAATGTCACCACCTCATCTTCCCAAATGTTCAACAACTCAATACTATGTAGCATAAATCAGAAGAATACTCAGAAAGAAATAAAAAAGTCATTGTGGAGCTAAATAAGTAACAAAATAAATACATCCTCACACTGGCTGTGCTTTAAATCCTTACTGGGCCAGGCAAAATGAATTTTAAATATCCATCTTACTTCATTTCCTCCAATTCAGCAATATTTTTGTCTCTGTACTCCAACATTTTAATGTCCAAAATTATCTTACGCAACATCTAGGTCAACAGAAATGTAGGACTGGTTACCTTTCATTCCTGTTATCTGTATATTCTCTTAAAAGATGGTATATGTGCATCTTAAAGGAGTAATAATGCAACTGAGATACTTGCCAAAATCAATGGATTGGACCCAGGGGGTTAATATGTGGTACACGCAGAACTAGTTCTATCTTATAGGACTAACATTCCCAGAAACCTCCACTTTTCCTTCCTCAGGCAGGGGACACTGCTGAATGGGTAGCCTGTGCCCTTGATTCTCAGCTGTTTGGACCATAAGGTCCCCGCAACCCTCGGTAGAAATTTTCAAGCAGATGTCATGGGTAGAAATTGGAGGGCATTCCATTGACACCAACCCCATTATAGTGTATCTCTGAATCCAATCCACAACTGCAATTTTGCAGAAGTTAAACCTGTTACAAGTAATCTTACAGTGGTCATATATAGCAACAGGCTGAGCACCTTTTATCTTTCTGACATCTGTTCCATTCATTTAAAATATGTGAAGCAAAAATCACAAAATGTTTATTAATGTATTTTTCTATCAGTGGAAAATTTGACATTGCGTATTTCACAGACGGAAGCTGTGCATTTTATGTAACTACCAAAATAATAACTATGCAATATGTTGTAAAATATAAGCAACCGTGTAGTCTTACATAATTCATTCCTTCTTTAGCATTCTGGGGACTTTGCCAGTTTTCATATACTAAAGACATAATTCCATGTACGTGTACATCTTACTGAAGTCAGTGAAGAGAAAAAGTTCTTGGTCAGCACATGCAGCAGAATAATACACAGAATGGATTGTACAGTTTCAGAATGAAAACAGAAAAACAAAATCCCAGATTCTGCACAGTTTCTGAAACAAGATGTCCAGCACCTCAAACGAAAAGGTTTTAACAGGCTTTTCCTTGTTGTGCTAGTTCCGTTACTAGTATATATTTTTTTCAAACATGAAGAGGTATTCTGAAGCAATACAACCTGCAGCCTGAAGTAGTGTAGCCCATTTTACTCTATTCCCTCAGATTTCTGGTAACTTCTATCTGTTTCATGTCCAGATCAACCTTGACTCCCTGGTGGACAGTGGACAAGACGAAATCATCTTGAGATTTCTTTAGGCTTCTTAGATTCATGTGACCAGATTTACTGACTTTAAGGGCTAAGGCCCAAGATAAGGCCAAAAACATAAGGGGGTTGCTTCCCTATAAGATGCTTCCCTATGAGGAATATTTGGTGACGAAACTAAAGACAGCTTTCTTAGTGGCTGCCCTCAGACTTAGGAATTTCTGGCCAAAGCAGTGTGTTTACATTTGCCACATGTTGAAATCCTCTTTTAAACAGGCTGGTCTCCTATTTGTTCTGTTTCCACCAACAGGAAAGCTCTTTCTGTTCAGAGAGATCTCTGACATTTAACTTGAGTCTTTGTTGAAGGGGGTCTTTGATTGCTTGGGTGCTGTTATTTCTTTTTTGCGGTCGTTTTTTAACTGTGGTTTCCATTTACTTTTATGTTTTCATTGTATTTGTTTCTACTTCAGTTTGCAACCATTTACCACTTGAGGCAGATACTTAAAACACAAACCCCAAAGTAGAACACTGCTATGTTAGAAGTCTATGGCCAGTTTGTATCAGTTCCAATCTTAAAATTTATGTGTCTCTTACTTCCCGTAAAATATAATCTGTAAATTAAGAGAAACTGATCATGGGGTCTTTTCTAATATCTACTGCTGAAGAAGAGTCTCATAATTAAATGAAGGCAGTATCTCCTGGTTCAGCTACTACACTCTTATGCAGGGATTCCTACATGCTCTGCAATCCCTTTTCCATTCTCATTAAATTTGGTCTTTGGATAAAGCTTCTATCAGAACAGCCCTGATCCACAAAAGATGCATAATGAAAGGTTTGAGTAGAGGAAGTGGCATATGTAGATGAAGGGTTGGGATTCCATATAAAGTACAAAAAGAAAAACACCTTACCGTATTCTTCTATATCCTGATCATCTATTAATCCCACAGAGACTCCCAGATCCATGCATTTCTTGCTATGCGCCTTGGACTTCATATGTTTTGTCAAATTTCCTTAAGAAAAATACATTGCTTTCTGATCAAACTATTACTTGTGGGATGTGATTTTGTACTATTAGGTTTATAATGCTCACTTGATGATATATTGCATTCTCAGAAACGTATACTAGAATGGCAAGAGATGAATATTGAAAGGGACACTGTATTAGTGGCTTCTTCTTTCTTTTATAAAAACATATAGATTTCCTGAGAGACAGCTTGTATCTTGTCTGCCGGCTTAATCAAGAACCATTACAATAGTGTGTCTGATGTCAATAAAAACATTTTCTACAATAAATGAACAATGTCCTTCCAAGAATCCCTATTCCCATTCACTCTTGCAGGCATCATCAGACATTTAGGTGTCCACCTGAGGGAGCAAGTCCTTCCCAGTTTCAACGTGTTGAATGCTTGGATGGAAGTTACCCCATATGTGTGTATATGGTGCACACAGGAGAGCAGAGTGAGGATGATGAGAGTGTGTCAAGAGTGATGATGAAGATGTTCAGTTTCTGAGACATCACAGATGTCTGTGTATTTGGGCATCCTGGGTGCTTGAAACATCATAGGCTCACAAGGCAGGAAATCGAATCAACAAAATGGTCTTTAGCAGGAAAGGTTATTTTATTTATTTATTTATTTATTTATTTATTTATTCAATTTATATGCCGCCCACACTACCCAGAGGTTAAAAGGCCTTTCTATGGGAGGTAAGCACCTACATGCCCTCCCAACGTCTCCTCGGAGAGGTCAACACTCCCTCTTTTTTCCTTTTTAAATATTCTTAGGGATGGATCTTGTGTTGTTGCCCTTGTACCTTTGCACTTGCATAATTTGACTGCATTTGTGCATTTTATATCATTTGTTATTTGCTGCTCTAAACACATTTTTGAAAAGTCTTATAGATTCTCTTTTCCCATGTAGAAATAAAAATTCATCTTAAAACAGATTAAAGTGTGATGCACTTCTGGTAATGTTTTGAAGTTTTCTATTTGGCAGACAAATGATTTACTGTATATTTAGGAAAAATGATTAATATCAGAAATTCTCATAATTAACTGCACATTGTTAATTCATTTACATTTGGCACATGTTGACATCCTCTTTTGAACAGATTTTACAGATCAAGCTACTAAAAGGCTTTGGATAAATGAAAAGCAGTGAGTTGTAACAGCACACATACCTTTAGTCTTGAAAGAAAAATTACAATAGTTGCAGTGATAAGGACGGACATCTGTGTGTGTGCGAATATGTTTCTTTAACATACTGGGCTTTTTACAGCGTATTCCACACTCTTCACATATATACTTCCCTCTTCCTCTCCCACGTACATAAACATATTCTTCATTTGACTTGTACCTAATTGAAACAAAACAAGCCATTATGAGCAAAAGGATTCCCGGTATAGATGATATGCTAAAGCAACCGAATGGAAACATTGGTGCATGGTTATGAATTATTTTTTTGATATTTTTTATAGAATGGTAAACTGACACCTGCACACAATACATTTCTAAAAACCTGTACTTTAGAAATATTTAACAAACCTGCTATAGATCATGCAAAGACTAAAGCAGCCACTCTCAACCTTTTTTTTTTGGCCGTGGCCATAAACACAATACAAAAGAAATATAGGCTGATTCAGGGCTCTGTAAGTTGTTGTAATAAACCTTGTAAGATGGTGTGTGAAGAATTATTTCTATTCTGTGACCCTGTATCATACATTAGTGCTAGCCTGACAGCTCATTGAGTTGTCCACCAGCAGAGCCAAGAGCTGGACACTCTTGATTCCCCAGCCTGTGTAGCCCTGGGCAAGCTACACAGTCTCAGAGCACTTGCAGAAGAAGGAAGGCATGGCAACCCATTTCTGAGTATTTTGTAACTAGAAAACTCTGGGAAGGTCCACCATAACCAGAATCAATGTGATAGCATCCAATTATTATTATACCACAGGGTATAATCCAAGTCCTCCATACAGAGCACGTTACCATAGTCTTTCAAGACTGAAGGATGCCTAATGAATGATGATCACAGGGTAAGTGTTATTTCTGACCAAAGTTAACCATGATTAACAAACCTTGAGGATATTCTGAAATCAGCTTTTGTTGCTATTACAATCCTACAAGCATCATGCCCCTTGGAGGCTATTCATGCACAATAAAAGAATGGTGGAAGACTGCACAGGTGAAATATGTGCACAGGTGTGTTCCTTCACCCTCTCTGCACTCTTACTACAGACAGGAAATACTAGGCTCAATAATCATTAAGCAAATCACAGATTTTATGACATTATCCTGCAATTCCTTGGAAGCCTATCTATTGGGCTGCAGTAATGCATGTTTAGTGGCAGTTCTTTGCTTACTGTGTGGCACACAGGTAATATGCAGACAACGAACTAAACAAGCTTTTCCTTTTGTAGTTCACCTCTGTCTGAGCCACCTCAATCCATCAATTATCATCTTGGTATCATCTCAAAGAGATCTGCAAAATATTTCCCAAGCAGCTATTTTCATCTATCTCAACATCTTAGCAAAAGACAAGTGGGGGAGGGGGGAGGGGGGAAGCAAAATATTGTAATACTTCAAAGTCTAACAGTTTTATTTCAGTGGGAGCTTTGTTCCGAACCAAAGCTTATAGGTATTGGCTTAGATTTGGGACATTTACCCAAGTCCATATGCTAGAGACTTATGTCCTAAACTACTAGGACAAAAAGCAGCCAGAAGAATAAGAGTTGATGAGGTGGGCATGGCTAATAAGTACAGTGGTGCCTCGCATAACAATGTTAATTGGTTCCATTAAAAACATCGTTATGTGAAAACATCGTTAAGCGAAACACCATTTCCCATAGGAATGCATTGAAAACCGGTTAATCCATTCCAATAGGAGCCTATTCAATACATTTCAATGGTGAAAAAAAATCACCAAAAATTCAAAAAGACTCAGAACGAAGCCAAATTACTTTAACGAAGGTTTTATTAGGTGCACTAACGATTCCAAGCATTTTAAACATTTTTTAAACATTTTAGAATATTTTTAAAATAGCAAAAACAGGGCTGTCAAAAAAAAGTTAAGTGAAACAGGGGACCTAAAACTGTCATCGTTAAGTGAAGCAAGGTCCCAAACATCGTTATGCGAAAATCCCCCATAGGAAACATCGTTAGGTGAGGCGGCAAAATTTCCAGAAAAGGCCATCGTTATGCGAATTCATCATTGAGCGATGCACTCGTTAAGTGAGGCACCACTGTAATTTGTAATATTAGGGTGCTGGGTTTACCAAATAATTTTGAACACTTGAATGTGTACCTCATGTTGGCTCCTTAATTCAATTATATTTTTCACAGTTGACATGAACCTCACTGCAGATCTTCTCTTTCTTGGAAAAAAAAAAAGGCCAGGTAGGCTTTCCTACAAAACCATTATGGTATGCTGAGGAAAGAAAATACTTACCCTCCATCAAATATTTTCACTCTTCTTGGCTCACTTCTGGTGATGGTCTCATTATCTTGATCAGTGCTTGTTTCATAGTTTTCTTTATTGCTGAACTCTCTTGCTGCCTTTTGTTTAACTAATGCCCTCTGAAAAAATGTATATATTTAATTTTCTTATTAGAAAACATATACATTTTTGTCTATCAGAATATTATTACCAGAGAACATCTGATGATGCAGTCACCAAACACGGCCATTGTATAGGGTAAAGGCAACACAATTACATTTCAGTTGTGCAGCACATTTTTAAAAAAATAGACAGGCATGCCAAATACAGCAGCTCATACCATTCACTTGGGAGAAAGCGGCAATGAATATAGTAAGACTGATTTTCAACTAACTATGAACAAACTTGCATTGTTAGAAACATGGCTAGCAAGTAAAGTGAACATATATTATCCTCTTTCTATAAATTTCTGAGTTTCCAGTTATTAGCTGCAGATTTCCATTTTTGCCACAGAGAAGTAGGCCTAAGTTCCCTTTCAGGCTCTTCTTTTGTTTAAAAGGTGTGAAGATAGACTCCACAAGTAAAGGAATGTGTTTCAAAAACTATTTGCCTTTTCCGGTGAGTAAGAGAAGCAAGATAATTCATGTAATAGTTGAAAATTTCATTGAACTCCAAAATTCATCCATACAGTAGAATGCAGATTTTGGGGGGAAAATATATATTGTTATGTGCGTGCATGCGCGCACATGTGTACACACACACACACACACCATACTGCAGGGGATACACAGTGTTGCATATGAAACTGCCATGTAGAAACACACACAAATTGAACATTGGGTAAAATATCTTAAGGAAAGTTTGAGGAAGGGCACTTCTCCTTGCAGTGTTGTAGCATGTAGTTTTACTTTTTCTCAAGTCTTGAACAACATCATAGTAAGCACAAATAATTATTCTCAGTTGGCCAGGTATACAAGCACATGCATAGAGGGGTACAAATGAAATCATTAGGGATGCCACACAATTATGCAGTGCAAAGAATATAAAAGAGACAGAGGATAACTATTGTATTATCAATTATCACTGCTGTAGGCAAATCCTATGTTTATCTTAGCTTTATCTAAGCTTTACATAGAATTGTACAGCTTATTTTCTTCATTAATGGCTGTTTGGCTTCATTATTCATATTTTTTCTTTACACTGTATACACACAATGTACCTGGCCAGAGAACAACACTTTATGTAATTGATGAAGCAGTCCACAAAACCTTATACTAAATAAAAAAAGGGGAGGGTGAGGAAGAAGTGTCATACTGTCTGTATGGTGTTTTTCAGAGGATTCCCAGAATACCAAGACAGCTTGACCACTTGCTAAAAAAGCAAAAAGTAATTGTTATGTTCTCTGATGCACACATCTCAAATGAAGTTGTGGCAATCACTGATGTCAGGGAGTGGGGAGGGGCCACCCACAAAGATCATTGGCTAAGAGAATGGGAAGATTTGTGAGTCCAAAAGGTGCAACAGACACAGCATGAAAAGGTAAATAAATAAATTAAAAAATCTGATATTTTGCTCTGTTTTGAAATGAGAGGTACTGAATAAGTCAATGTTGAGACATCTTGAAATACTGTTATATGCTAAATATGTCACCTCACAATACCTTCCTAAACTCTACTTCCTGGAGTATTTCATTTCCCGCTGATTTATCAAAAACAAACAAGTAAAGCTTATAGGGAAATGAAAAGAAACAGAGGAAGATAACATTATAAAAATGCTTATACGGTTATATTCTTGAAAGAACATGATAGGTTTATGGTTTTGCACAGAAGTAGCTGTCTGTGCATGATTTAGTAGCTGTAGAAAATGTATTCCCAAAGCTGTTTTTTTGTTCTGAAATCTATCTCTACTGCCAGAGAAAATTAGCATACCAGTTGTCTAAAAGGGCAACATATGTTTTAGCTTCTCTTGATTATTATTCCCTCCTTCCAATAATTTTCCTTTTGGTCGGCTGAATTCCACATTTAAAAACAGAAAACTAATTCTTGTAAACTAAAAATTTGCTCAAAACATAGGCAAAGTTCCAAACTAATTGGTGATTATTATAGCAATACATATAACATATACATATATTTGACTGGCATTCTTAGTATTTGCATATTCACTTAAAATGCCAAGTCAAAAGTGTTTTAAGCTCTGAAATTCATAATAACTACACAGATTCATTTATAACAGCTCAATATACGCACAGGTGAGGTGTTTTCCTGCATCTAAAGTATGACAATCACCACCTATTAAGAACAGGTGTTGTACAAGTCCACTGGCATGAATGGTGGAGAACCCTCACTAGATCACTCATGCCAATGAAATAAGGATGGAGATAGCAGAAGACATGACAAAACTAGAAGACTATAGCTACCTAATTATATAGCCATCAACATGTTTGCATGTGATCTCCAACAAAATGGAGTATGAAAATCTCTATAATAGTAACTAATAAACAGATGTTTTAAAATCTTATTGTAAACACATGCAGATGATTTCTCAGTTTGGGACCCATTTTTAATCCTTTATGTTGGGTTGCAATAAACAGTACATGAAATGTCAATATATATATAATTGTCAGATCAGTACAAATGCTACACATAATGTAGGAAAGCATGGCACGTGTTTACAAATAAATGAGCTGTTCCTTTCCTATAGGGAATCTGTTTTGATGTGAAAATGAACCCAGAAAAACTGGATATAAGGCTTTCATCATTAAGTCCCTTTGCTCTCAAAAGTCCTTACTTGTAGTTGAAGAATATGCTAACTGAGCAAATCAACTGTTATTCCTTCCTTTAACTAGGTTTCCCAACAAAGAAGTTGGTTAAGTGAGGAACCTAAATTAATGTTCATTTCAGTTAATCTTGGTTCTGACACACCCCAAAACTATACTGTAGTTTCAAACAAAGAACCACTTCATTCCAGGGGAAGTAAGTGCATGATTTCATTGCAAACACTCCTGACCTCCTAACTAGGATTAACAAAAGTTCTTTTAAGCAATGCACTTAAAAACACTTCATACATAAGCAAGAGCTAAATAACAAAGGAGAACATCTTTAAGACAGATCAGCAGAAATGAAGATCAACTATCTGTTCTCTGTAGCAGCACCTTCACTGTGGAACTCCCCTTCTCAAGGAAAGTCAAGCTGGTTCCATTCTAATCGAGGTTCTAAGGCAATCAAAACTATATTATTCTGTCAGACCTTTGGCTTTTGTACTCGAGTGTGGTTTTGAAGAATGTATTTTTTCTGTTTTGCTTTTATACTATGATTTTATTATGTACAGTACGTCACTCTGGAGATCCTGATGGGCAGGACAGCCATTTATAGATGCTTTTAATAAATAAGTAAATAAATAAATAATCAGCAACCCGAAGGTTAATCTTATCTACTGCTCATCTTTTGCTACCTCCATGCAAGGTATTATGTTAACACATTGTGTATTTAATACCAAACATACTGGTTGTATTCTAACATATCAGAATGCCTCTCTGGGAGTTCTGGATCCCATGGTTCTAAAAAATGACCATTTTTTGGACTAAAACACTCAGAACTCCCTGACCAGCAGTCACAAGATTATTTAAACAGCAATCCAAAAATACATTTTCAAAGCCCTGAAGGATGCAGAGGAAGACTTCATTGTAGCACTAGCTTTTAGAGCCTGAAAATCTGCAACAGTATTTAGGATCAAAAAGAGAAGTCCTTTCTAATTATTCTACTAAATGAAAGTCTCGTAATTACATTTTAACATTCCGGTTTATAAGAAAAAACTCCCCTGAAACCACATACCTGAGTAATATAATAAGATATATAGTTTCACCTAGCTTTTTGGAATCAATATTTTGAAGAGAAACAGGTAATGCAACTGTGCAATTAAAAAGGACGTGACATGCTCCAATTTTGTTTAGGCCATATGAATAAATTGTCAACTCAGATTAATGTTCCCATAACCAAACCCCTCCTGAATCCTCACTTAGCAGGTATTTATACGACCTGCATTTATAGTTCAACTTCTCTACTAGTCAGAAGTTCTCAATAATATAAAATGGTGTCCTATTGTTACCCTATGATAAAAAGAGCTCTGCAGTAATATAAGTTACCTTAATGTTTTATTTCATGTCAGCTGCATTCCTTATATAAATTCCAGAGAGGAACTCAGTGAAATAATATATGCCCTTCTGGGGATTTCAATCTTTTTTTTTGTGGCCAACATGTAGCCCCCAGGTCAAGTGCAGCCCACTACTCTCATTTTGGCAAACACTAGAAACCCTTTCCCAGCAGGGAGGTTTTGTAAAAAGAAAAGAAAAACAGTGCTCCTGGAAACCTCAGGGATGGTGATCCCATCCCCACCTCAATGGGGCTTGTTCTGCCTGTGAAAGAAATTTGGAAAAAAGAAAGAGCAGTGGAATTTTGTCTGCTTCCAGTTTCAGGGGGCAGTGACTCCTTCTGTGGCTCCTAGGGTGGAGAAAATTGGCCCCTGGGCATTGTCCACCCCTGGTACAAAGAAAGGCTTTCCAAAAGCACCCTTTTTGTGTGCAAACCATTAGTAGATGACAGTATTCATGAGATATGATAGCACTTCATGTCATGTAGTAAAAGTAGACAATACTTAAACAGCACTGGAAGTGAGCAATATATCAGAAATACACCGTCACAGAGCATAATTATGCTTTGTCCCAAATTACCAACATCTACTTTTAAAACAACACTTATGCTTCAGTGTCAACAATAGACTCCCCTCCCCTTTAAAATCAATGTATGTTATCCATATGTCAAGTACCTTAAGCAAGTTGTTCTTCCATTTGCTAGAGTAGACCAGTATGTCAGCTGTAAAGTTAGTACTTATTGCTTGAGCATAAAGGGACTTTCCAGATTTCTGCTTTGAATTCAGGAGGGAAAGAGCCACCTTTGTTGGCAAACCAAGTGGATTGGGATTATTGGAACTGATAGTCCAGGAAGAATAAGATGAAGTCTTTTGTTCATTTTGTAACAGATGCACAGGCTTCCTTTTTAAAAGGAAACACCAAGTAAGATTTGTTGCTGTTTTTAGGCTTGGAAAAGATAATTGTTGGGTATCACTTGCATTCACCACAGCCAGAGTGGCTCCGGATTTTGCCTGGCTCAGGATACTGGATTGCTTGTTCTCATTATTAACTCCTGGGGACATCCTTTCTTGACTGCTACCTAGAACCTTTAGAAATGAAGTCTGAGTACTCAATGGAGGAGCTTCAAGTGACTTCCCAACTGTAAAAACTACAGCTCCTGAGGTTGGTAGATTGTGTTCTAGAGGTTCCGTTACGAAGGAAGGAGCTCCAGATTGGCCTGAATCAGCTGACGCTGGCAACGGGACATCTGGAGATTTACTGACTCCACAACTTTTGTTATCGTGATCCAATGAGAAACTTTCAAGAGGCTCTGTGGTGCAGATCTGTCGCACTAGAAGTGGCTTCTTTTGCTTACTCGGGGCATTGCCATTTGTGTTTAATGGATACAGTGACAGAGCACCTGTTGTGCAAGCAGCTCCACTTTCATCTTTAACACGTTTCTGCTGTTTTTCCATGGCAATATCTAAGCTATTTGCAGGGGAGAGCATGCGTTTGCTTGACACTGTGGCTTCCTGTTGAGGAAATAGTCCACTCACTGGCACATTCTGAACTGTACTTAAGGACCCCTGTGAAACTGAATTTTTGCCACCTGTCTCGGAAACCAGGCAGTCAAACACAGAAGGTGGTTGTGAAATTGACAAACACATCAAACGATCTTTCTGGGATTTTGGCAGATGAGCTTGATCTTTGACTGTTGGCACAGACACGGTGTTTGTTTTACAAAGAGATTGGTTTACCTGATCCCGAGTTACTACAATTTGGGGAAGGGGTGCAACAGCAGCTAAACCATAAGATGGCATATTACTGTGAATACGCACGGGGACAACAAAGGGAGCAACCTGATACACTGGACCACTGCAGTTATCAGGAACAGTTTGTTGCATGGGTTGTGTCACATACGGCTTGGACACTTTGTCATTTAACTTTATGTGTACTTCTGGTAGAGTCCCAATCTGCTCTCTGCCAGCTGCACCTGGAAGACCTAGAGGGTATTGCTGTCCTACGTGCAGTGCTTTAACATGAAGCTGATATTTGGGAGCAAAACAATCCTCCTGACCAATATGCTGACCACTACCCAAGCTCCTGATTTTCTGAGCTCCAAGTATGCCTTGAAGGAGCGACTGGGAATGCTGACTGAGCACAGCTTGCTGATCATGTTGGTTCAGATTAGAGCCTAAACAGTGCTCGCTGGAAGCCAGGTTAAGAGAGCCGTTTTTCACTGACTCGTGCAAAGGCTTCATATAAGCTTGGGGATGCTGAGATTTCGAGGAATATTCCTCAGACGTATTCCCAGAACTCTGTAACCTCTGAAAGGACACAGCAGAAATATTTGTTGCAGAAGTTGTCTGAAACAAAGTATCTGACATGGTGTCAGGCTGATTCTTTTCTGGGGCAATGTTTAAGGATATCTGTCTTACAAGGGCCCCCCTCCTCCTTTCCAACAGAGGGACGTGCGTAGCACCACTATTACCAGAAACCAGTTTGGAAGTAGATATCTCTACAAGTGAAGCAGGCGTGGGAAGAGTCATCCCTCCGCAATCAAAGGACTTGCTGCGGTAATCTGCAATCTCCATCGATGGTTGGGTGCAACTTATTTGCTCAGAAGCAGCTCGCCGCATTTCTCGGTAGTGAGAACCAGGTACACTGAGCGTCTTTGAACTTGTAGGTATTGTAAGGAATTCCAGAGGTTTATTAGTTGCTTCTGCTTTGGGGACACTCTCATTCTTACAGACCTCGTCTTTATCAAAAGAGGCAGAGAAACTAGATGCACGTGATAAGCTGCTCTCTCGACTCAAACTTCTAGAAAGCGTAGAGTCAAAGCTTGACTCAGCAGAAGAATTCTCAATTTCAGCCAAGCGAATTCTTTTCTTTTTGGGTGGAAGCTTTTCTGTGGGCAACTTCGACAGGGTTTCACTACGTTGGGGCCAATTAAATTTTTCTGTTTTCGCCTGATCACTGCATAGACATTCTGGGTCTTTGTCGGGCTCTTCTGTGACCAGAATCTCAGGAACTTGGATGTTATGTTGGCGAACAAGCCTTAGTGGTGGCACTGGTGAATTCCTTTCATGGGGAGTGACCTGACGCTGCTGAAGCTGAACTCTCAGTGCTTCTGCTACTTGAGGAGGCTGGGAGGCAGTCAGGAAAGAACAGTTCTCCTCTTGAACTACAATGGGATTCAAGGAATGGAGCTTCAGAGGCTTGTTAGCTTCCTGAAAGGAAACAGGCGACACTCTTTCAAATGAATCTGATTTTTCAAAAGAGCTAGGTCTGCTTAAGGAATTTGTGTGCTGTATTACTGAAATCCCAGCCCCTTGCCTTTTCACTTCGTTTTTTTCTTGTGCAACTTGAACAGCCTGCTTTGCCCCATGCAGCAACATCTTTGGTGCTGTGGTCTGTTCTGTACTTTTAGCCTCTACCTCATTATGGGATAGTTTCTGAAGTGAAATGCTGCCAGATCCTACGATAGTGGAAGTATGTTTGGAGACACCGGTGGAATTCCCTAGTTTATTCTGGCACTCTGACTCCGTTATGCTCTTTGACAAATTACCAGTATCATTTGTTGGTGATTCATCATCATCATCTCCAACACTTTTCATCTTCCTTCTTTTTCTTATCTGAGATGTTTGTTCCCAGATCCCAGTTGAAGTGGCAACTCTATAGTGAAGGATTTGGGGTTGCATACTGTTCAAGACCGTTTTATGTTCAGAATCCCTAATAGCTGCCTTGGTTTTTGGTCCATGCAACTCTGAACAATAAAACTTTTTATGATTCTCAAAGTTTTCCAGTTTTCTGTATCTGTTTCTACAAGTCTCACACTCAAACATTGTCCCACGGCCTTGGTGTGACTTTTTAATTTTATCCAAATTTGCCCCCTGTACGAATGACTTGCTTCTTGCCACTGAGAATTCATTTGATGCACTGCATCCATAGCTTTCATCTACAGAGCGTGCTGGTCCAAAAGCATGCCCTTCAGTAGCTGAAGAATCTTCTATCGCTGCTTGCCGAACAAGAGTGCGAGTGTGCCCACTTTGGAGCTGTGGAGTGGCAGGGCCTGGCACAAAAACATCATCGTACAGAGAGCCAATTTTGTCATCAAAAGACTGACTTCCACGTAGGGGGTGGGGGGGAGGTATTACATTTGTGGGTACAGCTGAATAACTGGTAGTAGGCATAGAATTACTTCTAGTAATAGGTAAACAATCAAGAGTAGGTACAGACAGAAGAAAAACTTGCTTTGACTTTTCAGTTGGTGTGAAAGGAGACTTTGGTATATCCGAGCTTGAGCTAGTTCTTCTACCCATTGGTTTTAGGTCAAACTGGAAGGAGTCTTTAAAAATGTAGGATTTTGGAGAATCAATGCTACCTCTTCTTGAAAGGGATGTTCTCCGTGGCTTCACACTGTCCAACTGTTTGTCATCCACTACAGCTTCATTATCAGATATTAATTTTGAAATGCGTTCTTCAAGCGTTTTTGTGGCTAAAGGGGGCCTCATTTGACTAGAAGAGAGCAACACTTTGTCAGCACAAACAGTTTGTACAATGGATGCCATGGAAGTATTCATTCGTTGCATACCACCTTTACTTGGGTCCTTTTCAGAAGCGGGCAGTCCCTTCATAAATGGAACGGATGGACTCATAGTCTGATCTGCGCTTTCTGATCGTGAAAAGTAGCCTGAGTCAGTGCTGCCTAAACTTCTAGGGCTCAGGAGACATTTTCCTTGCTGATCCTGAGAACAATCTGTTGCCTGCTGCCTTTGTAGCTGTGCATGCATTGCTGTTCCTGCAGCAGTTCCGAACTGCTCCTCAGAAATGTTTGCCTCTATCTTCTGATGCTGCTTAGTATCAGAATCCTTCACAAAGTCTGTTGGTGTTAAATTTGGTTTCACACTTGTGTCTTTCACGTCCCCTTGTTGTGTTGTAGGAAGGGTAGAAGTGGAGTCTGCTACTTTAGGGCTATCAGACCTTGAAGGAGAAACTTTTATAGGGTAAACTATCACTTTAGGTAAACCTGTACCCGCTTGTGTTGCCGAGTCCTGAAATGAAGAGTCATCCAATATACGTTCTGGGTTGCTTGCTGAGACGGGACTGCCTTTGTGCAGCAATTCAGAAGTAGAGGGGATTTTCAGAACATGAGCAGATTCCATTTCTAATGACCCTTGATCATCTTGCCTTTCGTCAGCTGTGCCTTCATCATCACTGTCACCACTGTCTTCCACATCTGAATGGATACTAAGTGCCTTGTCTGATTCATGGGAGATGAACAGCCCACTAGAATCTGGCTGGAGGACAAGTCCAAGTTTGATAGCATGGGCATGAGACTTTTTGTGCTTGTAAAGATTGCTTTTGGTCTTAAATGAAAATCCACAAGTCTCACAAGGATACGGCCGTTCACCTGTGTGGGAACGTATGTGCTTTAGGAGTACACTGGGTTTGGCACAAGCCCTGTTGCAATATTCACAGACGTATTTCCCCAGCTTTTTAGGCTTCTGGACTTTCAGAAGGTTACATATTTGTTCTACCGAAGCTATCTGGGCTGAATTATACAAAGGAGCTATAGGTAACTGGGTGGTAGAGCTAGGTGGGTGAACTGACAAAGGCAACGAAGATTTTGCTACTAGCTGGTTTTGAGAAAAAGCCTGAGTAACTGAAGATTGGGGGCTGATTATTGGAGAAGTCACTGCAATGCTGTATATATGCTGAAGCTTGAGATTCTCCTGATTCGGCTGATGTACCAGTGAGTTTGTAAAACTGGGGCATGCTGTAATTTGTTTTTTCTGCTGCCCAGCTTTAGCAGGTACTTGTTCTTGTGAGTGAGCAACTGAGTGCATCTGTGCTTGTTCACTCTTCCCTGATGTTGCTACATGCACAGTCTGTGAAGTGTAAAATTGAGATCCAGCTACAAATTCTTGCTGCACCACAGCAGCATGACTTTGGACAGTCGGTGTATTGGATGTGAGAGAAGAAGAGGCGCTTACAGTTGTATTTGGTCTTGGTAGTTCTACTTGCATCCCACTAGAAGGGCACTCTTGTGCTAAGGTGTTCAGCTCAGGCTCCATAGCTTTCAGTAAGACATCAAATGCAGTATTTGTACATGAGGATGAATCATTACAATCGGTGAAATGAATACATTCATTATTGTCAACCGCGGCTGTACTTGAAGAGCTAGTGGAACCCTTCTGCACAGTCTGCACTGAACTGAAGTCTTCTACTGGCCATTTATTCAAGTCCATGGATTGAGGTAACAGAGACAACTTGCTGTGCAGTGAAGTCTCAGGCCTGGACGTTTTAACAGCTACCTCACTGCTAAGCATCCTCTCGCTTTGCTTGTTCTGCTTCCCATTTTGTGTGGCTAAACTGTGCACTTCTTTTAGGAGCTCTGAAGTATCAGGGAGGATATCAGAAAATGAAGAAGGGTCTTCTGTTTTTTCTTTCGCTTTTGCCCGGGCGGGAGTTCTCAAAGGCGATTTTGGTATTTTTGTCTGATGATTCCCAGTGACTATCTTTTTGCGCTTTACGCCTTTGACTGCATCTGTGCTCCCCCTTGCAACAGCCTCGGAGATGTCTGTCCAGATACAAAGAGATGAAGTTAGATGGTAAATACCTAGACACCATATTACCCTTTAAACATAACAAGTCAACATAAACTATACTGTACTCTGTGGGATCAGTAACTGATTCATATCATTAAGTTCTAATGTTTAGGAATTGCAAGGTGAAATTACTAACTTGTTAAGTAGCACCTGAAGTGTACATAAGCTGAGCAGAGTTCAAATCTAACATAATATTTATTTAAATCACATTTACTCTGAATAAAATTTACTTTACAATCCATTCCCCCAAATTTAGTTCTAGAATATGTCACTTACATTTCATTTAAACTCAAAGATGCTGAACAAGAGCAAAGAGTTTACCAGTAAGGTATCTTCCATTTTGGCCTTTCATTTATTCCTACTCTACAAATTCCTTGAGTAGCTAGCAGAATTTACTATTAATAAAACATATTAACATTTATTTTGGTGTCACAGTACACCCAAAATGTAATGTTTGGCTTTGAGCCAAGCATGCAGTAAGGCTAGAAGAACAGCACAGTATATCTGCACAGTATTGTTCAAAAGCTGCACTGTATCTGCACAGTTTATTTTCACAGGGTCCTCCAAAAGCAGGAAGCAAATATTTCTGCCCTTCCAGTTTTATAGTATCCTTACCTAGTGAATGACTATTACACAACTCTGCATAACTGGTGAAATTATTTGGCCAAAATGCATAACCTGTGCCAAGCTGCACAGATGAGAGAGAAAGGTACTACAAGCCAGATCTATCTTTGGTCTATTTCTCTATAGCCAACTGTAGCCCACTGTTCCACTGCTACTTTTCATCAACATATCCATGCCCACGACTCCTCATATGCTGTATGGTGGGCCACATGAATTATTCTTCATTGGAAATGATCCAAGTTTGAATCCATCAGAATCCAAGATTGCCGTCAACAGGGCTATTTTGAAGCAATCTGCAGTCTGCTTTATTCAAATCTGAGTATTTCCACATGCATTTGAGACCCACTCAGATGACACACATACAAAAATACTGCAACCAGACCTTCATTTGGGAACTCAGAACACTTCTGGCTTCTAAATCTTTATAATGCTTATCTGAAAATATTTCAGCGCAAAATTGTTCAGATTTTGCTACACTCCTAATCAGAACATTCTTGTTTTCCTCTCCATGTTTAAGACAAAATTATCAGCATAGTTTTAAAAGATGAAGTACTAAATTAATACACATGCTATATTTTCTCTGTCAAAACAATTTCAGCTGTCCTCTGAAGATGCTGGCCACAGAGACTGGTGAAACGTTAGGAAGATCAACCGTCAGAACATGGCCAAAGAGCAAAAAAAACCACAAACAAACAACCCCCCCCCCCACAAAACAAAACAAAATCCACAAGAACCATCAGATCCCAGCTGTGAAAGCATTCGAGAATACAGTGGTGCCTCGCAAGATGATTTTAATTCATTCCACGGAAATTGCTGTCTTGCGAAAACATTGTCTTATGAAACCCAGCTCCCCATTGGAATGCACTGAAATCTGTTTAATGCATTCCAATTGGGGGAAAAATCACTGTCTTGCAAAAATTGATCATAGAAGTCATCCGTCTTGCAAAACACAGTTCCCCATACCATACTGGGGAAAAGCAATCCCCTCGCCTTTGGAAATGCAGTGGGTCTCAGATGGTCATGCCCTTCTTTGTCTCTCTAGCAAAGAAAGGGGGTGAAAGGAATCAAAGCAGCCCCCTGGCTCCTGATAATGGTGACTCCTTTTGCCCTGATCCTTTACCACAGGGGAGAAAAAGAGGAAGAATGCAATACAAGACATCACCAGGACTTGCTGCCTTTGCAATAGGTCCTGATGAGGAGGAAAAAAAAATGATGAAAAGGAGTCTAGAAAAACCAGGGAAATCATAAGTGCAATCCCCCACTAACACAAATTATGCAGTTGACTTCCCCACATTTGGGGAAATCACAGGGATCAGTAGCACACCCAAAGTGCAATGGATGAGCCTCTCCCCCTGGGAAAACCACTTTTATGACATGGTATTTCCCCTGCAAGGTATGAGTTGGAATGGCCCTTGCACCTCCTACCCCCTTCTGTCCCCTGAACCCCCAAGGCATGGTGACCCCTTGGCTGCACCTCCCACTCAGTACAGGGCTGCACAGCCCCAGTCCTGCCAGAGGCCAAGAGAGCTCCTCAGTGTTTTGGGGTGCCTTGTGGGGCCCCCATCAGGGGCTAGGTGTTCCTCCCACAATCCCCTAGTGCACAGGTATTAGCATAAGGTATTATGCTAGGCACTGTCTGAACCCAATTGTGTGCATTCACAGAGGCCATGAAGAAGAACTGGATTATCATCTTCATTCCTGCTAGCATCTACAAAGGGCTGCATAATTCCCCATTTGGAGAGTATTTGTGACTATCTTAATCTATGGTATTTCAAAGCCATGCAAATGCTTACAGAATAAGGAACCACACATACCAAAAAACAACCTTTATTCCTGATGAAATGCACATGCAGTTTATATTCAGATCTGTGTACTCAACAACAAAAATAAATTGACCTAACTTATATATGTGAAATTGTCTTTCTACTTCATTTTTTTCTACCTAAAAATTAAGATTTTGTAAATAATAGAAGCATATATTTTTAACATTACACAGCCTTAAGCATCAATGTCATATACACAAGAGTTTATGGGGTTAACAGGAAAAGAAAGGGAGATAATGGTGTGTTTTACCTTTCTGTAGGTCTTCTGTTTCATTAAGTTCTTTTTGTGCTTCTTCAATTTTGTCTAAGAAAAAAAGTCAAAGAGATCAGAATTAAAAAACAAAACTGAGCATAACTAAATAGTTTTATAGCATAAATAGATTATAACTGACCACAATTGACTAGCCATTTTTCCTTTTGACATTACAGCTTACCCATCCTCTAAACGATACAAAGAGTGATTAATGGAAGAGATTCCATTCTTAAAGCTTAGTGCAAGCACCATATTTAGGTATCTGTTGTAATATTAAGATACAAAACAGTCATTTATTGCAACTCATTACTGGCTTTAATTTTTGCTACAAATATCACCTGGAAGATATATGGTTTAATAACATCTCTGAAAAATAGGCTCCAATGAAAATGCAGAAGGTAGGAATTTACTATTCAAATCTAAAAGAGATTAAGGGGTACTTTGAGACAATGTTAAACATTACAGCGTAACAAAAGAAAAGAGGTGGTTTCAAATGTTGTTAGGGTACAAGCAGTTTAGGATTTCCTTTATTCATTCCTAAACAAGGGGATCAAAAGCATCAAAAGTACTTCTCTTAAAAATAACACCCACTCACCCAATAATTTAAAAGTCTCTTACATATGAATATTGAAGTGAAGTGTCACCAGATGTCAAAACTGTTAAGTATAAAAATAGAAAACAGAACTTAATGGCTGACATCCAGTAGCAAATTACAATTAGAGCAAGACCACTAAATCAGTGGGGATTTGGTGAGTCAACACCTGTGTAAATTCCACTGATTCAGTGGGTCTACTCAAGCTGCAATGTACTACTGGGTTTTAGCCAATGGTTCCCTTTTGCACATCTTTGAAAATCCAAATGAGCTTGAAGTTTATATTCGTTCCTAACTCAGAATAAAACAAAACAAGAGGAAGCTCTTCTGAAGTCCTCCCTGCAGGAGGAAAAGGTTATGGTTACAATTACCTCTTCTTATGTACCTTTGCTGTGGTGCCACCTTGACTGCCTTTGCAATATTAACATGCTGATCTAAACATTGGCACATCATAAACGTGCCACCACATACTAAGTAGTCTAAATCCAGCATTGTATGAGCACCACAATGCCACAAGATTTTTCCCTGCAGATCCCCAGACTGCTTAAAAACTGCTTCCAGAGATGTCCTACCTTTAAGTTAGTTATGTGCTGTCAAGTTGGAACTGGCTTACAGTGACCCTAATAAGGCTTTCAAGGTAAGTGAGATATTTAAGGAGTGGCTTTGCCAGTTCCAGTCCCACAGAGAAATTCCATGGCCAAGTGGGGATGTTTGGGGGGATATGGGGAAGTGCTTTTCTCCCAGTGGAAGTTGAGTGTTGGATGCTACTCTTGAAATAGTAATAATAGTACTACTACTACTACTACTGCTACTGCTGCTGCTGCTGTTGTTGTTTTATTATTATCATCATCATCATCATCATCATCCTTGCTGCCAGGTCAAAGAGTTGCTCACAGACCACAAGCTCCGGATATCATCATCATCATCATCATCATCATCATCATCATCATCCTTGTTGCCAGGTCAAAGAGTTGCTCACAGATAACAAGCTCCGGATTGACAGGAGGGGAGCACAGAGCCCGCAGCAACAGCGGAAGGTGAGAGGAGAGTCGGCACCAGGGTGCTGGAGCATTTTATGTCCACCTGTGTGGGGGATATTTGTATACAAATACCCCCATCTCTAGATGCCACTACTACACAGCAAAATCAGTGCTGCAACATCTAAACTGGGTCAGATCATCTATCTGACCCAGCTACTTACAACTAAGTAAGTAAGTAAGTAAGTAAGTAAGTAAGTAAGTAAGTAAGTAAGTAAGTAAGTAAGTAAGTAAGTAAGTAAGTAAGTAGCCTATGTATTTCTATCCAGCGAAATGTCTATCCATCACATATTGCCAATTTTAGTCAAAAAATAAGCGGTGGAAAATATTCTACAATTCCTTTGTTTTGCCCCACCATAGTATTCTAGTCACGTCCAATTGCACGGATAGCCTTTAGTCCTTTGGGACGTGGTGGCACTGCGGGTTAAACTGCAAAGCCTCTGGGCTGCAAGGTCAAAAGATCAGCAGTTCGAATTCACACAACGGAGTGAGCTTCCGTCGCTTGTCCCAGCTCCTGCCAAACTAGCAGTTCGAAAGCATGTAAACTGTGAGTAAATAGGCACCACCTTGGTGGGAAGGTAATGGCATTCCGTGTCTAGTCGCACTGGCCACGGAAATTGTGTACAAACGCTGGCTCTACGGCTTGGAAACGGGGATGAGCATCGCCCCCTAGAACTGGACACGACTGGTCAAATTGTCAAGGGGAACCTTTAGTCCTTCACCCTTATGTTTCTAATCTATACAACTACTCAAAAGACTTTAGATCTTTACGTCCATCTTATTCATTATTTTACCATCTGAAATTTGTATCTAAACTTTACGTGCATGTGAATTTAAGCACATTTATTCACAATCAGGGTGAATATCAACGATTTATTGAAATCACAATTTAAATAAAAATCAAAATTTTTAAATTTATATCTTCAAAAATATCAGATTTTTTAATTTCAATCAAATCCACTGTTCACAATCAACACCAGGCAAAACTGACACTACTCTTTTCACATTGTTTCTCTCACTGAGTCTTAGGCAGAAATGCCAAGAGGAGACATAGGCTAACAGCGACCTACAGTATTTGAGCATATGGCCCAGTATAAACAGTGATTTGTTCAATGTACAATGGAGAGTGCTGGTTGCAGAGGAGTCCAATGATACTTATTAGTGTACCACATACATGTACCTGATAGACATCTTTATTATCTGTGCTCTATATTACATGCCCTAAAGATAAGTGTTAGTCTCTCATGCGTACTGAAGATCTACAGAATGACAAGCAAACACAACAGCCAACTCTGGAAAAATGCAAAACACTACTCAAGATATCCTGGATGGTCACGTAAAGTTTGGGAGTATTGCTCAGTAATCACATCTGAAAACTACAGCTAAGTCATTCCTTGCTGCTTGATCTTCCAACTGCTTTACTGTTCAGTTCATCCCCATGACAACCATAAAGACAAGCTGCTATCAGTTTCATACTGTGTTACTAAGTCTAAGGTGGACTTGCTTGAGATTATTCAAGGAATCCTTGAATGCTATCATCTGAGATGAGATTTGATTCAAGACTAATGTCCAATGCTCTTTCTGCTTGTGCTGTCTACATGCACATCATAAACATCATGTAGTGTCAACTGCATAATAACTGCTTCTCATTTCCTGATGAGGTGAAAATGTGCCGTTTTTATTAACTCAGAATATGCATTTAGTTATCATAGTACAGTGCAGAAAGACTACTGAATATTCCAATATTAATAATATTTTAACAACAACAGTTTTATTAACGGTGAAGGTGGACAAAGAAGTGAATGTTTAAAATTGAATGGCTGAAATCCTGCTGGTTAGGGTGTGACTACAAAGCGAGGCAAATGCAAATCCACTTGCCTTCACTCGCTGTGAAGTCACACCGGGGAGTCTGCACTACCCTCCGGTCAATTCAAATTAACTGGGCACACAGGAAAGCCTTTGCTGCAGCTTGTTTGCAGCTTGTTAATGTAGCTTTCTTGTAGTTAGCAGGTGGCACAGCTTCAGAAGAACCATAATTAGCTGTAATAAGCTGTAAACAGAGAGAGTGGATGCCAATTTATTTCTCATTTCTTTTTCTCATTTTCTCCCAGTTTAAGTGTCTTAGCACAGTGGTCCCCAACCTTGGGCCTCCAGATGTTCTTGGACTTCAACTCCCAGAAATCCTGGCCAGCAGAAGTGGTGGCGAAGGCTTCTGGGAGTTGTAGTTCAACTACATCTGGAGGCCCAACGTTGAGGACCACTGCCTTAGCACATCAGCAATGGCACCAAGATGTGGACTGAACCTTTGACCCCACAATGTACTTACTTTCACAATGACTAACATGCAGCACAGGGTGCTTAGCTCCTTTTTTCTCTTGCTGTTTGGAAAAAAGAGAGGGTGTGTGTGTGTGTGTGTGCACTGGCATGGTGGCCTTTCTGAATTAATTCAAGTGATCTTATAACAATAGCAGCTCCAACAACTGAGATGAACAACTACAGTACAGATCTGGGGGGAGGGGAAATTCTGGGCTGATCCGTATTTCCTGTTGCATCATGTACACAATGAGAAAAAAATGCAGATCAGCCTACCCCAAACCTGTAGTATTTCCTTCATTATTTTCCAGTGTAGCCTCAGTGTATTAAGCAGGCCTACTAAACCAGTGGAATTTACAGAGGAATTAACTCAACAAATCCCCAGTGACTCAATGGGTCTACAGTGGAACCTCGACTTATGAATGTCTTTAGTTACGAACATTTCGACTTACAAACAGCTCCGTCCGCAAAAATCTGCATCGATTTGCAAACGGAGCTTCGACCTATGAACGAAAAAAGGCAGGGGAAAAGGGCGGGAAATTCAAACTGCTGGTGGCAAAGAGGCTGCTACTTTGTAGCTCTTTCGCCCCGATGGTTAGAGCATGGGGTCAGGGAACTTTTTTACCGTACTTCTGCCGAGCAGGTAGAGCATGGGGTCAGGGAACTTTTTTACTGTACTTCTGCTGAGCAGGAGGAAGCCGGTGCGCTCCCTCCCCATTCCTGGTGCGGGTCTATTCATGAGTAAGCACCGCGAAAAGTGTGGGTCTACTTGTGAGCAAGCACCACTGAAGGCACAGCAGTGGAGGTAAGGTGCTGCTTTTTCCTTTTGAAAAAGTTGATCTCAGTGGGTTTTGGAGGGTAAGTTTGGTCTAGGGGGTTATGTTTCTGTGTTGTTTTGGTTTTTGATGTCCTTTTTAAAAAACTGTTTTGGATGGTTTAAAAAACTTGGAGGGTGATTTATGTTTCTGTGTTGTTTTGTTTTTTTGATTATTATTTTTTTGCAGTCCTAGCGTGGGACTTGCAGTGGGTTGTGTTCAGTGTGGGACTTGCTCCAATGTTTATTTTCGGATTTGTTTGTTTTTGGTTTTTTTGCAGTCCTAGTGTGGGAC